AGTATTATTTTTTAATATAGTTAGCGCTCCATACTTATACAATTAATAAAATTGTATTTAATGTATTATTATACTATACCTTAGACATTTATAATAGAAATGTCAATTATATTTTGTGATCGTTATGCAAAATTGGCAATTTACATATAGTTGATTGATTAACGAGTTGAATTTACCAAATACCTACACCGACATTTTCTGTCTTAGGAATATCAATCTTAAATATTCATTAGAGCATAGAGTATACGTTAATATATAATATAATATATATTATTAGAGTAATTACAATTTTAGTGTATAATAGTTTTATAACTTAAGTCCTTTTTATTTTAGCCGATGAAAAAGTTACCCAAAAACATTGGTAATATTACCATCCAGTGCAATTGTTAAATGAACTTCTACCGGGGCTACAGTACCGAGTTACTGTTATTTCAAATCCTCTGGCAGACATTATGGTGCAAGTACAATAAATGGCTTATTAATTGTTCATACTCGTAGAAATGGGCGAGTGCTTCAAATAATTATTTGCTTCTGTGCTTATTAATTGTTGGACGATGTCATATTTTTATAATGCAACATTTTATTAGGTATTGATGTTATTAATATAAGTTTTTAATTGGTTTCAATATTCCTTTTATTGTAAACTCAAATATGATCTATTATTTTTTATGAAATCACTTTACTGTAATATACAACAAAAATAAATATAATTATTAGTCAATTGCTTAAATGCAGAGATTGTTTTAATAAATAAATACACAAAAAAAACATTACTATTTTGTAAATATAAATTGATTTATTTTTTGTGTGTAATACTAATAAATAATATTCATGGAGATTTAAAATATGAAAAAGTGTGTGCTGTCATGGGACAACCGGTAGAAACGAAGTTTCTTTTCCGACAAATATTATAGATTACAATTTACAAGTACATTTTAGTGGAACCATTCAAAATAAAAGTAAATGTGAACAATAAATGAAAATGAAAATGATTATTATTTTTACTATTTAATTACTGTTATATAAATCATATTCAACAATCGAAATTACAGGCCTGTGATAACTGAAATATGATACGTATGTCTGTGCGATGTAATTTTTTCCAAATACATATATTGAAAATACTGCATCGATAGTGGTGTCATCTCTCGTTATTGTAGTCTTGTAGATTCTGCTGGATCGTCTATCGTATGTAAATTGAATGTGTCCATAAGGAAAGTTTTAAAAGTTTCCGATTTCTTATCATTAAAATTGATGTTAAAGTCACCGAATTGTTATAATTTCTAAATTATATTAATTATTGTAAATGCGTAATAATATGCAGATCTTATTACGTTGTTTCAAATCCTATCGCGTTACACCCGTTTTCTATTATACCTACCTAGTCAAACGCGATACACAAAAAAATGTAATCTCGGCAAAGGTAAAGCGCTGTATAGGGATATATGCAACAATCAGATTATTCTACGAAAACAATTTCATGAAATAAAAAGGTTTAAGCGTCATGCAAGGCGATTATAATAATATGTATATAAGATGTAACCAAACGTTTATGCTTTGTAAGGAGACCGTGGTATAGATTTCAATGTCTGGTTGTGCATGGAATACGCGTGATATACGCGCCCAGCACTTCTGAGGATTTCCACTTTTTTCCCCGGCACTATGGGGATCCCGGGATTCCCACTTTACGGCCCGCTAGATGGAAAAAGGTTGCTTTCCAACGCTTCAACCGCTGTTGAAAACCAAACTTTCGGTGCAGGCGTGACAAAAAATATATTACCTACGTACGATTCAATACTTATATACATATATATTATATTCTTATTACATAATATAATATTTTATTAATTTTACCTAATAATAATAAATGCATAATATACGTAGTATTATCAATAATTATATATAATATTATATAGGTACTTATTACATATTATATTTTATTTTATTAACTAGGATTTCAATGCGGTTCGCTGATTGCAAGAAATTGAGCTGAGCGAGTTAAACACATCGAAACTAATTGAACATATATTTGCTCCTTTTCTTAATCGAGGCATGTTTCAAGTATATTTGTTGTGAAATTATTGATTTATGACGGATCTATGTTTCTATGGAAACAAAATTATGGTATCAAAATTAGTTTAAATTTAGTTTTTCGGTGATTATTCGTCGATGGTAGGTCGGACATCGATCAAAACCACTTGTCGGCACTCAGCGATGTCCACACTATCACCGTGCCAAGTTTGGTTCAGATCGGTTATGCCAAATAATTATAAATGCATAATATACGTAGTGTAGCGATGTATTATCAATATACGCAAGATATTTATAATCAATCTATTGCGGACCGTCTCTACAACTTACCGCTTCCGATTTTTTTTTTTGTTCTATCCTACAAATCGATTTAATGTTTGCGTGTATATTAGACCTCTGGGAAGAAGACGGGCTAATTTAAAAATGGTTGAATTTGGTTTTTTTTTATTCGTCGGATTTCAGCACGGTTAGGATTTTGTGTTAATTGATTATATCAAAATAAACTTGGTTTAACTTTGATATTTTAGAGTTAAATTTTACACTTATGTACAAACTGCACGGGTCCGCAATCTACCGCAGTATATATTATGATAATATACTGGTGTGAATCAGAACTTTTATTCCGGGCAACGCAAAAGTTAAGATAAATTTCGAACACCATATACACCGAATTGAATAAACTTTGAGTCATGATATAGAGCTGGTACATTCAACGGGCAACAGAGTGCACCGGATCAGCTAGTTTAATACAATAATATCAATTTATTTATTTATAAGTTGTAACATAGCATTCTTGTCACATAGTTGTTCTGAGGTAAGTTTTAAGCCTTCGTAATTAGGAAAAACTTCGTTCACAAGACGCAGTGTTTGTAGGTATTGTCATAAATAGTTTTAAAATTACAGATAATAAAGGAAACCCATTTTTAATTTCACCTTGTTTCATATAATCTAATTTGTTTTAAAATACACTATTATTTGAGTTAGTTTATTTAGATTTGAACATTATATTAAAGATATTTAGTTATACTTGAAGTTCACGATTATCAAACTTATAGGTCTTACAAATAATGTCTAGTAATGTTAACATTATTTTATAAATGTTTAAAAAAATTGGCAAAATTATACATTATAAATATAGAAAATTTAAACACTAGGCATAAAAGAGGGTGTAATAAATCAATTATACACCTGTAATCAATTTGCTGTATGTAAAGAAATTGTTCTTTTTATCATCTCCTGAAAAAGTTGCTACTGACCAATCCGTGCCCTTAGGGAAAGCTTCCATTAAAATTTCTCAAACGGGTGGACATGGGGTACTTGAGATGGAATTGTAAGGCAAAGTGTGTATCGAAGAAGTGTAGTTATAGATCGTTAGGACTTTTATGTAGGTAACTCAAAATGTCATGATAGTTTATCTTGTTGCAAAAAATAATTTATAATATAAAATAAAATAATTTTTGGTTTAAGTACCGAATTAATGTGTAAAAATTATTTTATCATTATTTATCTTTTTTTACAAAATGTCGAAATTCACCTTAACATATACATCAATTTATGTTTGTGTGTAGATTAGACCTTTGGGAAGAAGATAAGCTAATTTAAAAATGGTTAAATTTGGTTTTTTTTTCATCTGATTTTAGTACTGGTAGGTTAGGATTATGTATTAATCAACTATTTTAATCCACCATAGGTGGGTATACGAAAAAAACTTGGTATAACTTTGATATTTTAGAGTTAAATCATACACGTATGTACAAACAGCACGGGTCCGCAATCTACTATATTATGATAATATACTGGTGTGAATCAGAATTTTTATTCCGGGCAACGCAAAAGTTAAGATAAATTTCGAACACCATATACACCGAATTGAATAAACTTTGAGTCATGATATAGAGCTGGTACATTCAACGGGCAACAGAGTGCACCGGATCAGCTAGTATTATATAATATTATATTAATATATAGTAAATCGTGTTTGTTTAATCTATTGGCATATCACTTATTAACAGTTGGTAAAAATGTATTATTGTTTGCACCCAATTTTTTTGCTTAAATAAGGCGTTATTAAAATCTTTGATTTTAGAACTATCATGTTTTCTTATTCAATGCCATGATAATGTTCATAAAAAAATTACATTTTCTGTATTTTCGAGGACTGTTTTGTGGCGGCACAAACTTTTATTTTTACAAAATTATAAGAACATCCAATATTTACTCAATGAATTACGCCCAATCCCCCCCCCCCCAAAAAAAAAAAAATCAGTACTTACCTATATTATTTTAACTTAACGGTGAATTAATTACCTGGTAGTTGGCTCAGAACCAAAAGGTTCCAAATCAATTTTTCCAAAAATCCACATTTTGATAGACACGGGTTTAATGATTAATGCTCTATAAACTAGGTCCATTATTTAAATGTTAATATTTTAATGCTCATTTGGCATTTAATAATAGATTTGATATTTTAATACGAAAGAGTATTATCTTTGTATTTTTTTTTAATCATCGTACAGCAATATATTCAGTATATTCTAATTTGCTACCAAAGCCCACCCTTAATAATGAAAATTGAAGCATTTATTCTGATCCAAAAGTCACTTTTCTCAAAGTCTAAAATATACAAAAAATATCATATTATGCTTGAGAATACACAAAAAAAGTGTCTACAAAAAGTGAAGTAAAAAAAACTAAGTGTTTAAAAAATACGGTTTGTTTAAAAATAAACGTACCTAAACATATCAAAAATAAAGTTTCCTTCTTTTTGTAGGATGTAGAATGTAGATGATAATAATAATATGCAATTTTAATGTTTGGCCAAGGTCGGGGATAAGACCTGTAATATAATAATATTTATACGAGTATACGGTGTTATTTATTAATGAAAAAATCACATAATTTTATAATAATAAAATTATATAGTACTGCAACACCATACGCTAAAACAAAATTAAATAAAATTTGAAAAATTATAATGACAGACGGCCGACGCTGGCCGTCGTCCGCGTCCTCTTCGCCGGCTGTTGGTCCGGGTCGGTGACCGGAGCGGTCAGCGGACGCTCTGAGGCTGCGGCGGGCCGCGTCCGATCGGGTGATGCGTCCCGCCGTTCTCGTCCATTTTGAGGTGCCGAGCGTAACTGTACGGCGCCGATGAGTACGAAACTCCGCGCGAACCAGGTGTTCGTGATCGTATATGGCCGGCTTGGTGATGATCTCGTAATGCGACGTCTTCCCGTATAACCATCACCTCCGTCACCACCGCTGCCACCTCGACACATGGCTGCCATCAGCGCTTTGCCTGACATTGCAGCCAGCGACTCGAATGCGATGGCCGGCCGACCACAGGGCTGCTTTCATACCGTCCTTCTTTCTCCGTCCTGAGTGTGGACAAACAAATATGAACGGTTACCATAACGGTCGTCACCGGACAACGGTCGCGGTATGTACCGTGCGCGGTGCCTTGGTTAGAACCATATAATATTAACGGTACTGTACGGGTTTTGTCAGTATTCAACAGGCACTAGGCGGTATAGGGATAAAAAATCTGTGAATATTTAATAATGGTTACCTATACCTTTGAATTAAATATTAAAACTGCATAATATTTTTATCGGCGTTGCAATTAAAACAACTTATGAGGAACCTTGTACTTATTACATTTTTCAAGTTTTTTACAAATTTATAGAAAATTATTGATAATTTCAATTGTCCATAGGTAAGAATAATTTTTAAATACTGAGCAACATTAAATCGCAAAGACGCAAGATCGGTTTTCAAACAAATCGATTTTATAGTTTTTGGTGTAAATCTAAGACAAATAACCACAGATACATGACATTTTCACTAAATGTTTATATAAGCATTTCTATAAGCGATATAATTTTTCTAAGTATTTTGACTTGTTTTCTGCAGTTTACGGACATTTTCAGTTTCCAATTTTAGATTCTGACCGGATCTAGGAAGCTAGTGGTTTTATAATGGTATTTATTTTTTTATATCCTGTATACAAAATTTCTACCAGAAAGAGTGCTTCGATTTCAACATTTAGTACCTACCTTATCTTTTAGCGAATTGGATCAAGATGGTACTTTAGAGAGGTCGTTTTTCGATGTCATCAATAGTTATTTAATGCCACTGAAAAAACCACCGAAAAACTACGAAAAACCACATGGCATTTTAATTTCTAACGCCATGTTTATCATCATAGAAACGAATAAAAAATTATAATATTAATTCAACTCGCATGATAATATAATCGACTAGCTGAACCCGTGCTTTTCGTAGCCCTTAAGGCCGTAAAAAATCGCAACTATTAAAAAAATTATGATTGTTCAACTCTTTTTGGGAGTAACTTGCTGAGGTAAGTGCAACCCAGCCACCCTGGTAGGCAATGTTCAATAATTCGATTTGAAGCTTGTACCTGATCTGACCAAATAACCAATGGCAACCAATAATAAATAAATACTAATTTCTAATGTAGACTGTAACCAATGGCAACTATTAAGAAATAAAAATAAAATTTCCAATTTCCATCGTGAACCTCAATGTCACTGTTTGAGCACCTATTAAAAATGTGAATTTCGGCAAATTCTTCCTTATAACTCGGTGAGGAGAACCTCTAGTCCAAATTTCAAGTTCATTTTGAGTTACAGCGATCAGTCACTAAGTGGTATTTAGAATTTATATGTATAGATAATAGCAATATAAAATATCCAGACTGACAAACCGTCTCCGCTCGGAATCGTATTTCTTATACAATGATATTATATCATTGAATTCAAGTTTAATACAACCCATTATACAATGACCCACTTGTAACCTACTGTACAGCAGAGGGACATCCACTTACCCGCTTTTTTTTACACTTGATACCATATGAATAGGTGACATAGGTACTAAGTTGTCATCTATAATCACCTATAGTGGACATTTGGGCTGGTCAAAACGTTTGCCACTCTCTATTGAAAAATGATATAACGTCATGATTATTCAGTACTGACTACTAGCACAATCATACATGTTTTTCTTTATGACAATAGTAATTATTTAAAAAAATTAAAAAAAAAAAACTTGTTATATATGCACTATAATTATGAAATATGCAATTAAAATCTTAAATTAAGCCCTCAAAAAAAAGGGTAAAATATGCATCATAAAACATTCATAGATTAAATCCATAGGCATGTCTACGATGGCAGCCTAGGGTGCCTGATGGGCTGCCCCTACAATTTTTGAAAGGTGCCGGTCAACCGAGTTTTAAATCAGAAGGGTCACAATATTTATTATTTTTTTTAAAACTTGATTTTTTTTGTGTGTATCGTTTTCATTACCATTTACTTACAAAGGTATGTTCAACAAAATTAGGTAGATGATATCTTTATTTAATATGTATTGTCAAATATTAATTTCTTGACTCCGGAAATCGGAAAAAACCTACTATAAAAACTTGAGACAGACGACGACGGTAAGGTACGTATCTAGGTATTATTGATATTATTGTTGTATGATGTTTGATTTGCAGTAGTTAGGTGGTGTAATCCAAGGCTGTAGATGAATAATATTTCTGAAGTTACTGTAGATGATTATTGTAAATAGATAATTTAGACTTTTAGAATCTGAGTGAAACACGATACATGTATTGATTTTACAATGATGTGTGTTTTATTTTAAATTTTTTTTTTGGTCTGTCATCACGCTTTAGGACAGGAAAAGTGCTTGGATTTTCTTCAACAGTAGCTTTTCTGATAGGAAAGTGAATCTAGTTGCTATTTTGGAGGGGTCAAAAGTAAAAATAGTAGTTTTCACAAGCGCGGGGAAAAACCACATAAAAATTAAGGAAAAACGGGAATTTTTACGCAAAATCGGTTAGTCATTGCTTTGCAAGTTTTAGACGATCTTCATTTTGGCATTACTTATTGGTAATATAAAAAAAAACAAGGCCACGAAACACACACTACGATGTCATATTAAAAACTACACACTCGTCGCAATGTTCCCTCGTTCGTGTTTAACGTATTTAAAAATGTGTTAATCGTAATGAATTACGATAAGATATCTGATATTTCAATCGATAAAACCATATCTAGAAATAATTGAAAATATAACAGGTTGAGTGCCACGGTCGTTTAGCCAAGTCAAAAATACGTCCGGTGGACCTGAACTCTGAAGAAAAGACCTTAAAACAGTAAAATTGTCTAAATATGTGGAAAAAATTGAATAATATTGTGAAATATGTAAAAACATATAGATACCTATTTATGACAAAATATGTAAAAATATGTAAAATCAAATATAGCACATTTTATCAAAAATCTTGTGAAACGAATTTATCACTTGCCGAAATTAGTTTATCATGTCGCAGAAAAAATATGTATTTACATGTATAAATCCGAGCCCTACTTATAACTAATAACTCAGGGCTAGGATTTGTATGAAATAAAACATTGTAAAATATGCATTTTATTGACCAAAATATGCAAAAATATGCATTTTAATTTTTATAAGATGGACTCAAAAATGTAGTTACAAAAAAAATATTCATTGATTGAAATACATCAGTGATTGGCTGATAGTATTAAAAAGATACAATCGAGATTAAAAATTAAATTATTTATTAATTTTTTTACTTTTTGCATGTATATTTATTAATTATTATTTTAGTATAGTACAATTTATAATTCAATTCCAACGGTAAAAATGAGTGTGCTACATGCTACGACCGCATATTTTTTTTCTACAATTCTACAAAAAATTTTGCAATTTGGCACTTTCATTTTTGACTTTCGGCATTTATAAAACAAAAATCACAATCATTTTACTAAAATCACCCAGAAAACAGTATAATAAATGGTAATACACGGACAACTGAACGGTTTTACGACGTAGAAAATATTAGCATTGTGCATAATACACTGATACCCGACAAATTATATCTTATCTTGGATTTTATATTGATATCCAGGGCCGTCCTGACGATTTGCGGGGCCCAGGGCAGAGTAAAATTGCGAGGCCTAAAATGTCATTACTCATTGTTGGCAGTGGCATATATTTAATATTATGATAATGCCTATATACTTATAGGTAAGGGGCAACGCTAAAATATACTTAAAAATATATTTCATTGTACTTACAACAATTATTGTTATTTATTTTACATGAATAAGTAAATTAACTAATAACAAAACACGTCATTATATTTAAACTTAATATAATAATATTTATAAATTAATAAGTCTATAAATAAAAAATTCTCAAGGATGAAATCAGCTCAAAAATAGTCAAAATATTGTAAAAATGTTTTAAGGAAAATACTTATATAAATATTTGTTGAAAATGTCAAAGTTCTACAGTCATTAATTTTTAAGTCAGCCAAAAAAATAAAATCTTTTTCAAAAATTGGTTTTGTATAAAAGTTAAATCTTTTTTTGTTGTAAAAAAAATATACTTGATATTTTTAATTTTAAATTCCCAAAAATACTAAATAATTTCACTTTTCTATCAGTATATTATATGCTGATATCGAAAATCGGAGCACTTTTACTACCTACACAAAATGTGGCTTACAAAACAGAAAAATAAACACACATCATTATAAAATCAATTCATTTTTTCGCTCTGCTGAGAATTTAATATATTATAAATTAACCTTCCAACGTCTTAAAATATCAAATGTGTCGATAAAAATTTAAATATAAATATAAATTTTAGTTAGTCAGCATTTTTTTCTATAGATATTATAGCTAAGTCGGTGCCTGGTTTTGGGACACGAAGACTCCCGGGTTTTATTGCCTCGCGGCTACAACCGCGTACCTTATATTAGCGCTGAGCGCTAGTCAAGAGACGCGGAGGCATCAGACGCCGAGCCCGGTCTTACCCGTAACCCGGCGACTGGCCGCCATAGGTGGACGGCACACCGGCGGTGGCCGCTACCCGCCTACCGTTAAAGCGACCGGATCTGCATGGTAGCTGTCCCCGGACGCCCGCCGGTTACGGTGTGTGCCGGCTACACCAGCGAAAAGACCAACAACCCGCTCGAATCCGACTCCAACGGATTGGAATCCGATTGGCCGGGCGGGAAGCATTCCTGGCTCGCGAATACTCCCCTGGGCTAACCCGGCCCCCGAGCTACCGTTCCTACGTGTCAACGGTTGGACATACTTCGGCGGCCGCCTCCGCCTACCGAATTAAGAGGGGGGGGCACCCTACAGACAAGCCGTCAGCTGCAAGTCCGATCCATCTCCGCTATGCCCGCATCGACTTCACGAGCCTGACTGATACTGAGACGCTTGGCTGAAGGTCGGAGCAA